TTATAATAATAATAATAATAATAATAATAATTATAAACAGCATCTCATTAGCCCTTATCCCTATCCCCACTCAGCAGTAAGCGCTTTGTGCTTTACAATCAATCTATATTTTTCTGATTATGATTATCAAACCTGTCTACCATGAGATTTTTCTTAAAAAGTTGAAAATTAAAATCAATAAACCCGAGAGAACATGGCACCCTTCCAAACCTCATTTTCTCACCAGCTTCAGCGACATCAAATAAACTATCACACAAACGAGCCAGACATTTCAGCCTGGATATAACCAGACAAATAGAAGAGGCTTGCCAACTGTTTCTAAACCCAAATCGGGATACGCGATGTTTTAACATCAGAGGAAGTAACAACGAATAAAATTTCATTTAGTGGGACAGGTTTTGATGAAGTGCGTGTGTGGTTAAGTTTCAGCGAATTCTTACGCACAAGCATATGTGCGAACCCGAAAAAAAAATGGTATGACTTTAACGCCCCTATCAACACTATTAGGTTATTTAAGGGGCAGGACCTCCTAGTTAAAAGTCCGTCTCCGATGGGACCGAGCCAAGTGGGAAGTTCGTGTAAAGTGCCTTTCCCAAGGACACGTCAGACCGAGCTGAGGCTCGAACCCCCAAACCCGCAATCTCACGATTACGAGTCTAACCACTAGGCTACCGACGCCACGCGAATCCGATACAGTCCCAGGAAGTTCAGAACATAAAAAGGTAGGCGTTTTCACACCCCCATTGCTACAATATAGATCAATTAGGAGGCAGGCTTCCAACCCGGCCTGTTGGGGCAAACTCGGGCTGAGAGGGATACAACATCCCAGACGAGAGACCAGAGAAACTCGCTAAAATTTCCTCCCCATCCGGGAATCGAACTCAGGTCTCCCGCGAGTGACAGCTAAGCGTGTAACCGCTACGTCACAAACATCCGTAAATTCAGAACAATTAGTTGGCAAGCCTGTGAATTACTGTTTTGGTAAGAGTTTGAGGGCACTTGCAACACAATAAGGTCATAAAAGTGCCGAAGATTAGAGGTGTTACAAGCGAGTAACAAACACAAAAAAGAAGGAGGAGAGATAAGGACGATAGATGTACGATAGGAAAGAAGGAGCAAACCGCACCAGAGCACCCGCCCATCACCCACGTAAATTACTGTCGACCACACGAGGAATTACATACATGAAGATCTGTCCATCAGCTTGGCCAGAGACGCTTACATCAGTCAGGCTCTGACTGAAAAGAAGCATGCGACACAATGCAACATCCATGCAGAAACAGAAAATCCTCACATTCAAACAGGAAACAAGAGGCTATGGCATCACAACAAAATCAACAAAAAAGCAATAAATGGTCAGCGTCCGACTCTTTTAACTGCCCATCAGTCACACTGGGTCAAACATTTTTTTGAGGGGAAGGGTGGGGAGAGAAATTTATTTTCTTTCTCGTTACCTTCCAGAATAGCTCAAAATTTTGTGTAGAGCATTCTTTTTACTCATTTCACTATGACCAACTGTTTACAGTTGTGACCGACAGACATAATTTGAGACAACAAAAAAAGTGTGCGGCTTACTTTGGCTGATGCACACAGTCGGACACTAACGAAATAAAAACTCAATCAACAGAACTCAAAAGTAACGGATCCCGCGTAACAAAACAAAAAAGGATTGCAAGTTACTTTAAAACCTGTAAAACAATTTTTTTTTATCCCGCATCAGATTTTAATGAGTTGGAAATGGATGTTTTTGAGCGTGATACTCAACTCATTAACATTTCGATGCTAATGAAAAATACGTCTTTCACAGTCATTGAAAAGAACTCAAATTACAATTACCTCAAAGCATGCTAAAACATTCGGAAAGCTGCAGAAGATATTTCATACTGAAACACATGTTTGGTCCTGCACATGTTTGGTCCTGTTAATTTCAGAGTACTTTCAAAATCAGATTCTATGCAAATCCGATAGGATTTTTCCTTGGGCAAAAAAATCAGGCCGGTCGTATTTTATCGGAGTACTTAGCAGGTTCACAAGACACGCATTTTCAGAAGATTTAGAAAGTTCTTTTTGACATCACTCAGAACACCATAATCTTCTGCAGCTTTCATGATGTTTGGAAAACATAAGGAAAAAAAACCTGAAGATTTAAAAAAAAAACCTTTCCAGCTTAAAAATCATTACTGTCATACACAATGAAATTAATACCAAAAACAAAGGGTCGCGTTAGCATTCACAAAAACAACAACTGAAACAAAGTGACAACATCATAATCAAATGTACGACAAAATGCTGCATCGACCAGGTCATAAAAAGAAACAAACTACACCGACTGAGCAGTGAAAGACTCCGTCAAACGTCACTTTTCAAAACGGCGTATGTGAAAAGTGCTGACAAAATTAGTTATTTCTTTAATTCGAGCCCTATGGAAATAGATACATCACGCTTACAGCTGAAGGTTTTACAATTTATCAGTACGAAATAATTAAAGGCGCGTTATACTTCAAGAATATGGCATCAGGGAAAACCAAAAATTTGACCCTAGTGTCGATTTTTAGCCATTATCATATCTCCATTTCTGGATTGCGAGAAGTAACTCATTTTGTCAGCACACCTCACATAATTGGGAGCTCAGTGCTTTCTTATCCTATCTCCATTTTTAATAACAGTGAAAACAGTTCATAACAAAGAGTGAACATAAGAAGTCACATTTTCAATTTTTTTTTTAAATGGAGACTGGACAAGAAAGCACTGAGGTCACGATATGGCAGAAACTTCCACTGAGCAATCGATATTCTTTGCAACCACAAGGGGTTTCTGATCAGGCTCATAACGATTTGTGTGCACTTGACGTTCATTCTCGTGCTGTTGGGGGTTTTTTGAGCCAGAATCTGTGCAGGAGTTGTGGAGGAGGTGTGGAGATGTCGCAGACGGTTAGGTTCATGCACAGAGAGACGGGGGACGGAAAATTGCGCAAGTTTTATCCCGTTCTGCAACGAATTACCCAATAAGAAGCCGCCCTTCCTACATATGGTAAATTGCCCAGATTTTTTAAAGTGCATCGATCATGAGGTAGCTGTGGTCAAATCAGAATCCCGACCTCGGCCATGTTTAGCTGACTGAGTGTTCACTGAAAATCGTTCGGTGAGTTTGTCTCAGAAAAAAACAGAAAACAAGTAAATATACTAGCAGCCTTGTATAAATAGATGTGTATGCCCAAAGCAATTTAGTCGCGCTCAAAAAGAAACTTAAAACGGAGGTTTTCATGAAAAAGAAATGACCAAAAAAATATATATGCAATGAAATGAAATAACAGTCTTGATAATTGACCAACAGAAGAAGTCTACTACATAAACTTTTACTTTTGTGGAAATTCAAGTCGGTACCATGTCGAATACCTGTGCAACCTAAGAAATACTCGATGCCGAAAATCCCAGCGCAATTTTCCTACAGGTTCTGGAAAAGTGCTTTGAACTCTTTTGACAAAAGGATGAAAAACCTGCGCAATTTTCGGCCGCCCAGAGAGACAGCAGCAGTGAGAACAGCGACACAGGAGACACATTCCCAGCAGCACAAAAACTTCAGGTCATCTTTTCAGCAGAGAATTCCGGTTTGTATTCTTTAACCTCTTCACAGCTCTTCACTCTAACGGTCTTGTAATCAAATTCCTACATGAGGCTGAACGACGCATCAGATGTGATATGTACATTTTCTCAGCTTTACTTCTCTTTTCACATTGAATTTTAATGAGAGCAATATAGAATTTAAATTTATTATGTATACCTGCATGTGTTTTTACAGTCCTGTGCAGCCAAGAAAAATTTCCCTCTGGGATTATAAATATTATCTTGTCTTGTCTTATCTTATCTTAGACACACAAACTGGCTTGTGTTCCCGAAAACTGAACAACTGACATTTCGTCTACTGGTTTCCAGGGGAAGTAGAAGGAGGTGTAATTAGGGCAGTGCAGTTTCACATTTCTAAGATAAGGGAAAAGAAACATTGGATGTTTAAATCTCTCAAGTAGGAAATTTTTTTCTCTTTTGTGAACAAACCTTGATGGAAACCTCTCAGCAGTGAAAAGGTACAACTTACTTCCTCCCTTCCCTTCCCCTCCTCCTCCTCCCGCCCATGCCAGAAAAAAAAAAGGGGGGGGGGGAGGGATGGAGAACTAATTGTAAATTTCTACTGTACCAAGACCACACAAATAAATAAAATTTCCGTCAAGAAAAAAAAGCAATGTCAAAATTCCGATACTTAAAATTTCTATCAAAAATTGAGAGTATTCTGAGACTTCAGACACTACTTTCACCAAAACTGAGAGGACTTTATCCTCAACTCTTTCTGAGGAGTTCTAGAACATTTCACTTTTCTAATTTGAAAAAACCTGATTCGCTGATATGATAGTCACAATTTCAGATCAAAAATGCGATGCAGAGAATTCAGCAGAACGAAAACATGGTAGACACCAAAACAAAAAAATAATACTGCATCAACAGATAGGAGGTGATTGGGTCCAACCTTAAGTTCCCTTTGCTGGACTTGTAGAACTGTCGCTGCAGCTGGGCCAGTCTGCTCACGTACTTGGCCGTGTCTGTGTCCTCCTGCGGGGAAAAATAAAATGCAGTGGAGTCTGTCTTAACCGTATCACGTACATCGTGTCTTACTGTCGTATCCATACGACGTGGAGAACTCTGTGCCACCAGTTAACCCTATCACGTACGTCAAGTCTTACTGTCGTATCCATACGACGTGGAGAACTCTGTGCCACCACTTATTCCTATCACGTACGTCGAGTCTTACTGTCGTATCCATACGACGTGGAAAACTCTGTACCACCACTACCCGTACGTCGTATTTTAATGCCGTATCCATACGACGTGGGGAACTCTGTGTTTAAGGCCATTGGCCCACATCACATCTCACAAAACACTCATTTGATAAGTAAAGTTTCTATAATGAATAAGTACAAGTTGTGCACATATCTCTTATCATGGGTCAAACATTGCGTATTTCTGTCACTGGGCCGGTCAGGCTGGGAGGTATTAACTTTGCTTTACTTTACTTTTCCAATCCAGCGGCCATTTCGGTTCTAGCCCTTCGGTCTGTCGATATGGCAAAGAATTTACAGGTTTTAATCAGCTGTGCTTTGTCGCTGTATGAGTATTTCTGATGTGTGGGGAGGCAGGTAGGTAGGTGCTACGCAGGTCGCAAAGTGCAGGGCAGTTAAAGAGGTGGTGTGGTACTGTTTCAACCTGGCAGTCGGATGGGGTATCCTTGTGGATCCTATTTAGGTCGGAATTTAGTGGTATGTGTTGTGTTCGCAGGCGAAAGATCGTGACTTGATCTCTTCTACTCAGGGAATTAAGTCCATCTTTTGAGTTGGGAGGAATTAACAATTTCCTTTGATGGAAAGTTAACACTTAAATCAATACCGAAAAACAAATACATGCATAACATTCTAACAACACGTTCACCACCATTCGATATATTCAGAGTTCTCTCCATTCGAAAAAGACAGGAAAAGATTTTCACTGCCTTCATAAACAACGCAATCACAAAAAGTTTTAAAAGGTAACTGTTATACTATTAAAAGGACTGACCATCTGAAACTGGACGGAGCTTTTCGGGGTATCGATTTCCAGAGTCTTCTTGTTCTGCGTCACTTTCGCAATTTCGGCCCACCTGAAATAGAAATTTTGTGCAATTTACATCTTCCATCACAACCTTTCACCTCTGTGACATCTGCGACACGCATGCTTCCTTCACGGTCTAAGGGAAACCTTTCAAACGTCAATGCAATTCATATAAATTCAAGAGTTGGGAGGGTTTTTTTTTTTTTTAAATAAGATAATATGTGAGGCAGCATGGTGGAATCAGGCTCTCGTCAATTTTTGGGCATGTAGAGTTATTGGTATCAACTTAAAGCGTATTCACTTGTCTTTATTTGGATGGAAAAAATAATACATTTATCTTGAATACAAGTCGAGATATTTTCGAAAGAAAAATGTGAGGGTCACCTGTTTTCAAATGTAAAATTAGTGAGAAAATGGCCGCCAAAGATTTGTTATTTCCTTAGCTTAAGAGTCCATGGTAACTGAAAATTTACGTTTTTGAGCCTATAATCAACGCTTTTCTGAAAAATCCACACAGAAATGAGTTCTTTAATGGGCATGAAAGGTGTTGAGCCAAAAAAACAAAATTTGATAAAAATTCACAAACCCTCGGAAAAATGCAAGTTTCTTCACTTTGATTATTTTGACGAGAGCCTGATTCCACCACGCTGCCTCACATATAGATAGATCAGATCAATCAGATCAGATCACATAAGGTAAGTTGGGATAAGATAAGTTGGGATAAGGATAAGGATAAGATAAGATAAGGATAAGATAGGATAGGATAAGATAGGATAGGATAGGATTAGGATAGGATAAGATAGGAATAGGATAGGATAAGATAGGAATAGGATAGGATAAGATAGGAATAGGATAGGATAGGATAGGATAAGATAGGAATAGGATAGTATAGGATAGGATAAGATAGGAATAGGATAGGATAGGATAGGATAAGATAGAATAGGATAAGATAGGATAGGATAAGATAGGAATAGGATAGGATAAGATAGGAATAGGATGGGATAAGATAGGATAATATAAGGTAAGATTTCATTGACCTCCTTTAGCATGAATGACATTAACACAACACACAACACCACACACAAGCTGTCCAGATGTATCGAGCCCACACACAACACCACACACAACACCACACACAACACCACACACAAGCTGTCCAGATGTATCAAGCCCACAAAGTAACATTTTTCAGGGGAGAGAAAAAGCTGTTTCTTTCTTTGAACAATTCTACCTACATTATGTTGGGGTTTTTTCTTGCTTACATTTAGAATCTGAATTTCCACTAAATATCTCTTAAGCACATGCAAACAGACAATACAGATTAAAATTTAAAAAATTGCAATTTAAAAAAAAAAAAAGTAAAATTTCAAAATTCTGGATTTAGCACACAATCTGAGCAGCTGGGCGACAAAATACAGCAATGACAAAAGCAACAGCCGACAAAATACAGCGATGACAAAAGCAACAGATGCTGTACCCTACAACTGAGCCGTCAAGGTTTACACGAATTCAGTGTCCACGTCCAAACTTGAGTAGTTTTGTCGAGTTTTCAAAACTCTCAACCCATTTGGCCTGGTCATATCAGAGGAGGACACTGACCCCAGAGGTCCTACTTCTTAACCCTATCTGTACGTTGTTCTACTATCGTATCCATATGACATGGGGAACTCTGTGCCACCACTCCCAAAGAGGAAGTTTACTCGTTAATCCGGTCCGTACGCTTTGCACAGCAGTCTGTCCAAAGGATTTTTTGAGAGATACTGAAAGTCTCATAGAGACCTTCTTAAGTAGAAGTGTTCTGAAATGTGAAGAATACAACCCCAGGGGTACAAAATGACCCCAGGGCGTAGAGGATAGGGTTGAATAACCTATTAGTGTAGGCAGGGGCGTTAAACCCATACACTTGCTACTTACTGACTGTACATGTTTCAACGACTGCCTCGAATGAGAAATCACTTACTGGTAGTAAACTGTTGACTGAAATCATTTACTTGTAGTAAACTGTTGACTGCAGTAAACTGTCGTCTGAAATCACTCACTTGTAGTAAACTGTTGACTGCAATAAACTGTCATCTGAAATCACTTACTTGTAGTAAACTGTTGACTGCAGTAAACTGTCGTCTGAAATCACTTACTTGTAGTAAACTGTTGACGGTAGTAAACTGTTGTCTGAAATCACTTACTTGTAGTAAACTGTTGACTGGCCGTCGATGTAGCGAGCAAAGATGCCGGCGTGGGACGTCCCTAGGTACAAGTCCTTCCTTGACTCGTCCTGGACAAAAAAAACAAAACATAACCGTCACTATCTAAACCAAAGTCATATTTAAGTAATTTCAAAATTACTTTGCTTAAAAAACTTAATTCCGTAAAAACGTTGGGTTTTTTTATATGTATGCAATTTTATTAAAAGTAAAATATTATCTTTTAATGATCAGTTTTTGATGGAAAACCCTGGGGAGGACAAAAAGAGGAAGGCCGAGAAGATCCACGGGGGAATGAGATCTAGAGGTAGATTACAGGCTTATATGGGACACAGCTGGATGGAGGTGGAGAAGATCGCCCAGAGCAGAGATAGGTGGAGTGGGTGGTTGGCGGGTGCTCTGGTGTGGTTTGCTTCTTCTTTCCTATCAAACATCTATCGTCCTGATCTCCCCTTCTTCTATTTTATGTTTGTTACTCTCTTGTAACACCTCTAATCTTCTGGAGCTCATATATGACCTTATGCAGTTGCAAGCGCCGTAAAACCTCCACTAAAACTAAAAAAGAGACAGGCAGAGAGAGAGAGACCTTCTTGGTGGTCTATACCCTACACCAGGGTGAAGGAGTTTTTTAGTTTTAGTAAGAGTTTTACAGCACTTGCAAGACAATAAGGTAATATAAGTGCCGAAGATTAGAAATGTTGCAAGAGAGTAACAACCATAAAAAAGGAGGAGGAGAGATAAAGACAATCGTTGTTTAATAGAAAAGAAGGAGCAAACCAAACCAGAGCACTCGCCAACCACCCACCCAGGGTGAAGGATGCAGATGATGATGATGATGATGATGATGATGATGATGATGATGATGATGATGATGATGATGACGTGGGCCCCCTAAAATTTTGAATTCCCTCCAACAAGAAACTAATTTTCTATCATCAGAGAGAGAGGTTAAAAAAAGTCGAAAGACACATTTGTTCCACACTTGTTCTCTGCCAGTAAATGTTGTAAGTGAGACTGTGTATGGTTCTGGGAGCTGTGTGTGTCTGCACACATGTGTTTCTGTGCATGTTCGCATGTGTGCGTGTTGTTCAATGGCTTCACAACATGCATTTTCTTTCTTCTGACTTGTCAGTTACGTTGAGTTATAATTGTGCAATGTACAGCACGTATTTAAAGCCTTCTAGGAATTAGGCGCTATATATATATATATACAAATTTCCATTACTATCTCTTATCAGTATGTTTGAAACACACGCATTTTCAGCAGATTTTTAAAGCTTTTTTAGTCACTAGAACTGATCACTCAGAAGACCATTATTTTCTGCAACTTTCATGATGTTTGGTAAACATAAGGAAAAGAACTTTGAAGATTTAAAAAAAACTTTCCCAACTTTAAAAGCATTACTGTCCTACGTGACGAAATACCAAAAACAAAGGGTCACGTTAGCTTTCACAACAAGAAGAGAAACAAAGCGACACTTGCACTGTATGCTTCCCAGGAAGCTGAGGTTGTTTCTGAATGCTCTCAGGTCTGCCGTGGTAATAGTATAGATTGTGAAACGCAAAGAGCTTGCTGTTGAGTGGGGATTTGCGCTATACAAATGCTATCTATTATTTTTATCGTTAGTTTATTTTAGTTAGGTTTTACGGCGCTCGCAACTGCATAAGGTCATATGAGCGCCAAGGGGTGGGTGTCAACAGAGAAGTCCTTACAGGGAATCAGACTTACTCTGCTCATCTCTCTAGCTTCAACAGCACAAAGTCTGCTTCGACTATCAAGGCATCCCGGAAATAGCAGTTCACAAGAGAGTGGCAAATGTTTATCATTATGACAAGAAGTTCCCCAGTCAAGCCTCACCTTAGCACTGTAGTACTCCGCCCCGTAGCCGTCCATCATCTGAACCTCCTTGACGTACTGCAGCTCCGCCCTCACCGGAGGCACGCCCTTCAGACTCTCGTGGCCCGCGATCGCCTCAGCCAGCAGCTCCGCGGCCGTGTTCTCGTCTTTCATCATCGTCTGTCACAGAAAGAAAGAATCAGGAAAAAGAAATTAATACAATCCAGCCAGCTCAAGCGGGGACGTATCTAGGACAATCCCCTGTACAAATGACCACTTAAAAAATTTAATAAGTGTTTTACGGCACTTGTAACACAATAAGGTCATAAAAGTGCCGAAGATTAGAAGTGTTACAAGAGAGAAACAAACACAAAAAAAAGGAGGAGGAGAGAGAAAGACGATAGTTTTTATAGGAAAGAAGGAGCAAACCACACCAGAGCACCCGCCAACCACCCACAACGACCTCTTTACACTTCCTCTCTCGCATTTTTTTTTACATTATAATGACACAGTGTAAGACGTCCACCTGTATAAGACAACCTCTTCTCTCCCATCAATGGATGCTCTCATTTTAGACGAATTTTTTTTTTTTTTAAAGTAGAGGGTTTTATGGCGCTTGCAACTGCATAAGGTCATATGAGCGCCAAGGGGTAGATGTCAACAGAGAAGTCCTTACAGGGAATCAGACTTACTCTGCTCACCTCTCTAGCTTCAACAGCACAAGGTCTGCTGCGACTATCAAGGCACCCCAAAATAGCAGGTCACAAGAGAGTGACAAACATACAAAAGAAGTAGAGGAAAAATGACAATAGTAAGGATTAGGAAAGAAAAGGCAGCAGCTCCCTGTTGTAGATCAGGCACAGTAATGAGCGTGACATGATGAACCAGCCCATTTACAATTCCACAGTGCTTGAACGAGATATGTCCCCCCCTTTGGGAATGGCCTAAAGACACTACAGTCAGTGGCACTGTCCCGGGGGGGGGGGGGGGGGGGGGGGACTAGACGAATTTGACTGCATTTTCAGAAACATCCTCCTTTGAAGAGACATTGACGAACAAACAACTATTATTATGACCAAAAAAAAAGACAATCAAATGTCACCAGTTCTACTTGACACCTCAACTGTCACGGTGGTTCCGTGCCAAAAGTGCAGGAGACCCAGGGCTGCTCCACTAACAACAAGAAAAAGGACCACAACAGAAAGAGATCGTTGCGATTATTCGTTTGAGTTAACCTCGCAGAGTTTGGAAATGAGACTTACCTTTGGAAATAAAAGATATTCTTCTGCAGAATACTTTTCTGGCTCGTAGTCACCAAACTCAGCTGTGGGAAGACAAAGTAAGGTCATCCTTGAACCACATGCACAGACACAGCAAAAGTGAACAGACAAAACAATAAATATACACAGTTACTACGGAAAAATGATCTTATTATATTCTTAATTAATTGTTTCAAAATAAAGGATACTGGGGGAAAAAAAAAAAAGCAACAGTCTTTTCAAATCCACATTCTCAAGTTTCTGCTTGTTTTATTTGAATGTATGTTTTTTTTTTTATGTATGGTTGAAAGCCCCTTGCACCATTTGAACCTTGTTTACGAGGCTGAGCCTCCAAATTTAACATCCATTTCCGATAGGACAAAGCCAAATCGGAAAATTCGTGAAAGGTGCCTTTCTCAAGGACACAATGCCAGAGCAAACCGAGCCTCAAACCTCCAAATCCCCAATCTCCCAATTACGAGTCAAGTCGCCTAACCACTACACAACTGATACAACCTTAGAAAAACGAGACTCGAAACAGTTTCAGAAACAAAAAGACATGGCCGAGAGCCCTTGTACTGAGGAACCCAGCTGAGTGACTTTGGCTCTTTTACTTTAAGTAGACGTTTTACGGCGCTCGCAACTGCATAAGGTTGTCATATGAGCGCCAGACAATTAGAGGTGTTACAAGAGAGTAACAAACATAAAAAAGAAGAAGGGAAGATAAGACCTTGGCTCACCTTGCAGACTGTAAGCGGCGAGGCGAATGGCTTGCTCGACCGAGCAGGGCAGCCTCCCGTCCATGACGTCATTCTTCAGCTGTAGGTAGTAGTGGTACCTGGAGGGAGGGGAGACAAATCACAAGCTGGTTTTTTTTTAGCTTTAGTAAGGTTTTTTTGTTTAGTTTTGGTAATCATTTTACGGCACTTGCAACACAATTAGGTCATATACGCGCTGAAGATTAGAAGTGTTACAAGAGAGTGATAAACACAAAAAAGAAGGAGGGGAGATACAGACGATAGATGTTTGATAGGAAAGAAGAAGCAAACCACACCAGAGCACCCGCCAACCACCCACTATCCTTCTCCCTCCGAGACCTAACATTGACAACACACTCTATGGAACATTACAGCAACTGCAGCAAACCTGCACTTATCACTACATGGCATTGGACAGAAGGGCAAGAGCCCACAAGATTGCTTGATAGATAACAACAACAACAACACAACAATACAATTTTGTCTCTACTTAGTTTATAAGCAGTTTTCCACGAACAGCAACGTGTGGACTTTTCACCTTTTCCGTCTATCACAATTATTAGAAGATTCAAATCCATGGCTGTTTTCCTTATATGTGGTAAATTTAACCATATGATAAACAAACAGGATCAAACCTCATCAGAACACCCACCATCCACTGACCACAGTTAAAAAAGGAATGCGAGAAAAAACACTCAACAGCACTGTGGTAACAAAAAATACTTTCAAGATGAAGAACACTTATTACACGAGAGAGCAAAAACCTTGATTACGATGAATCATACCTGGCCACTTCGTCCGGGATCTTGTGCGCCCCGATGACGTAAAACATCACGCCAAAGTAGAGGCAGTGCGAGTGGCTGGCGGGCTGAGCATATTTGTCCAGCTGCTTCTTCAAGGGTTTCTCCAGGTCCACCCAGTGGAAGTGAAGTTTCTTGCTCACATAGCGGAGGCCAAAGTACAGGCTCTGGGGGAGAAACGTTGCAGGAAATAAAGGATAGACAGGGATGCCAAATGATTTTTTAAAATAAAAATGGAAAATGAGTGGAACATCACACCTCACCTAAAACGAACCTTGTAAAATCTTTCAATGAGCAAACAAAAACATTTCTCTTACCATTCCCCTTTCCTTTGCAAGTGTATGATAAAAACGGAAAAAGCCGGAAAAACCGGAGATTTGGCATCCCTGGATATAGCATAGTCCACTTAACTCACTGGTCACGTTTCACACAGCATTTGCGAGCACCAATATTCCAAAATTTCCCTGAGAGGCGGTTCACGCACCCCCTGCGAGCACAAGTTTCGCGTCTTCTCCCCGGCAAAGTGTGCGAGCAAACGCAGCGTGAACCATCTCTTACCCTGCAGCCGACCTTTGTTTCATTTCGTGCCAAGTTTCACCAGAACGGGCAGGAAACTTGTTGAGTTATCGACGCGGAAGGAAAGTTAGTCACACCGAGGCCCTACTTTCGTTACTCTGACTGGCGTCTGTTCTCGTAACACTTTTTCTGTATGATGGCAGCATGTATAGTTTTAGTAAATTTTACTGCACTTGCAACACAATGAGGTCATATAAGTGCAGAAGATTAGAGGGGTTACTAGAGAGTAACAAACACAAAAAAAAGGAGAAGAGAGAAGGATGATAGTTTTTTATAGGAAAGAAGGAGTAAACCACACCAGAGCACCTGCCAACTATCCACTGTGGGAGAAACATTGCAAGAAATAATTAATTGATATACAGTAGAGTCCTCTTAAACCGAAATTTGCTGAACAGACGGATTTTCTTTGATTCCCCCGAGTTTTCAGTTTAGAGAAGTTGCTCAAACTAAATAGAAGGAAAAAAAAAGGGATTTTATTTTCTTTGAGTTTACCACTGTTTTCAGATCAACCGTGAAATACTTAAGCGGAATCTACTGCAGGGAGTTGAAAATGGCAGTTAACTCTATTTATTTGTTTGTTTCATTATCCTTTCTCTGCAAATGTTTAGCTGCACATATATGAAAAAAAAATAAAAATGAAGATATTTAAAACAAAGTACACAAAAACAGAAAAAAAGAGAGAATGACATGGCAAAGACAATGAAATCGAAGAAAAGAAAGAAAGGATAAGATGAGAGAAACAAATACGAATACAGGCATTCACCAAGTGTTGTAATGTCTTAAATTATCCAATTCTACCATTCATCCCTACTTTTGTAAGTAAGATAAAAAATGACTGACGGCTTCACGAAATTACTCGAATCTCTTTTTTTAAAGAGTTAGTAGAGGTATTACGGCGTTCGCAACTGCATGGTCATATGAGCGCCAGACTCGAATCTCTATTAACAAATAAAAGTGCACCTCTAGAAAGTAATTTACAGTACAAGAACAAGAAAAATCTCATAAATAGCAATTATAACTCACCTCGGAGAGCTCGATCCGCTGGGCGATACTGTTGAGACATTCTTGGCCCGTGCTCTCAGCACTCAGCGTACACTCTAAGTACGCATTGTCCAGCAGGTACACACCGACGATGAACAGGTTTTTCGTGGAAATGTCATACTTTCGCGTCTTCTTCAGCCGCCATTTAAATGGCATCTTTCTTTGCTGGTTGATATAATCACTCTCTTAATCAAATCTGTCTGAAAAAATTAAACATTTTCACACTGTTACCGAGAAATTCAAAGAATTCAAAGACATTTTTATACATTATCATTGTAATCACGATGCACACTTGTCGATCAATGCTCTCTCTGTCAAAGAACTGTCAGAAACTCATCAGAAAACATGATTGTCAAAGAACTGTCAGAAACTCATCAGAAAACATGATTGTCAAAGAACTGTCAGAAACTCATCAGAAAACATGATTGTCAAAGAACTGTCAGAAATTCATCAGAAAACATGATTGCAATGATAAGGTACTATACAATTATGCTTTCACTTAGATTTTAACTTAATTTAATCAATTCAATGGAGGGCAGAGGGCATATATATAAAAAAATTGGATTTGCTGCTGAGAGAACCAAAACCAAAGCTGGACTGTGGACAGTTCAATTTCAAAATTAAGACTTCAGACTGAAGAGGAAGAATATTTTTTACTCAAATAAAGAGACGAGCAACTTATTTAATCATTAGCCTGCAAACTTATCACCAGGGCCAGTACCAGAGAGGGAAGGCCATCACATCAGTTGTGCGGGTATTTCAAACAATTGTAACAGAATCTTTGGATAAGATACAACCCTCAACCTCAGAGGTGAAGTGTCGTGGACAGAAAAGAAGTGACTACAGATGTGAACTTTCACATGATTAGAAAGATCTATAGATAATTCCAACACTAACTTGGCAACTTGATTGAACTTTTTTATAGATCAAAGTGGCCAGCCCTACTTTTAGATCTAGGTTTGGCCCTATTGACTCTACACCTGTTGAGCACACAGGTCTCATTAGATCTACATCTAGTAATTTATTGTTCAGGTTTAAAATAAATAAATGCAAGTCAGTAAGGCACCTTTTGGTTTTGTCTGAAATACAAATACCTTAGACATTGCAAACTAAAAAATTCATTTACAATTCAGCCATCATTATTAAGTACGGCTAGCCCTTATTAAAGTCTTGCCGTCCCTAAGTACGGCTAGCCTGCCAGTCTGGCCGTACTTATCTTCAAGGTCCTATTAATAAAATGATTAGAAAACAGGTCTCTCGTTGGTAATAAATTCAGGTTTTTAAAAGCACTGTGAGTTTAAGGTGAGTAAGGCACCAGGTTTTGTCTCAAATACAATTTATTTATACTTTCTGAACTGCAAACTAAAAATTTATTTACAATTCAGTATCACTTTTTAATAAGTACGGGGCTAGCCTAGCAGTCTAGCCGTCATTAAGTAGGGCTAGCCTCTTCCTTTATATAGATTTCTAGGAAGGACTTCCGTAACGAGCGACCACCCCAACAAAACAATAAAGAAGAGACCTACCCTACCCCTTCCCCTCTATTCTACTGTCTACTCTGTCTCATAGTCTATTAGTGGTCGCTCGTTACGTAAGTCCTCCTGATTTCTGCTACCTACAGACTCTAACCAACGGCCACCTCTATTCTCACCCCGGGTGAGAATAGCGCAGGCGAGTCTTTTGGCTATTCTCACCCGGTGTGCGTTCACCGTTATAACCTAGATCTAGGCCAACCAATTTTGCGTTCACCCTAAACCACAGAATTCTACACTGTGCTGTGATAACAGAAAAATTGTAGAATTCTGTGCCGTGAGCTTGTACGTTCCATTACTACTGTGTTGTTAGCCTAAAAGCGTACATTTTTGTCTGTGGGCAGTGGATAGAGAGAGAGAAAGAAAGAGAGAGAGAGGAGTAGCGCGAGAACTTCCGGGCAAAACAAAATGGCGACCCGCGTAGTTCGGCTCAATTCGAAAAGTTAAATAGCCGTAGCATCTTTGTAGACGACCAAATTAATTTACTTTTGTGTTTTAACATTATTTTTAAACTTTATTTTGGTCAATTTGATCGTCCACACCGATAGACAGTAATTTTAGAAAGAGACAGAGAGAGAGAAGAGGGGAGGAGTAGATCTTGCGAGAACTTCCGGGCAAAACAAAATGGCGACCTGCCTAGTTCGGCTCGATTCGAAAAGTGAAATAGCCATAGCTTCTTTGTAGACGATCAAATTAGCTTACTTTTGAGCTATAACGTAATTTTTTCTTGGCTTTTATCCATTCGATCATCCACACCGATAGAAAGTATTCCAAAATTAGGAAAAACAGGTCTTGTTTCACACCAGGTGAGAATAGCCAACGGTGGCAAGTCTCACCCGAGGTGAGAGGTCGATCGTATTTTTATTCTCACCCCAGGTGAGGATAGCCACTTCCCTAACCAACCAACATCAATTCTTATAACAAATAGTATAAATATCTATTTTAAACTATTAAGTTATACATTAAAGTTTGAAAAGCAGTTTATTCGGAGGCAGGCAACCGCTAGATCTCTAGATCTAGATTCTAGATCTAGAATCTAGAGGTCCAGTCCATCAGAAGATCAGTCCATCCACGAAAAAAGAAATTAATTTCCTTACACTTTCAAATTTTCTATTAGATAGAGTCTACTTCCTTCTCTGGCTCTGGCACCTTCACAACAAAATAGAATAGCTTTTGCAGTTAGTGTTGCGGATGATGAATCAGTATGATTCATTGGGCTTCCCTCTTAGTCTTAGTAGTAGGTAATGAGTAACTGAGCCTTGGTTTGGACGAGTTTCGATGTCCACCCAACCAAGCGGCCAAGCCTTTCTCCGACTCTGACCTGTACGGTGTACACACAAGTTAAACAGTAAACAGTAGTCCGGTACTTGCAATGCAGCAGAGACGTTGCACAGGATTGGATAATAGAAAGTGGCTTCCATATTCGAGATGAGCACACAGTCTGAGTTAAATTAAAACCTAACCGCTTGGTCAAATTGATGCTTACCTCACTTTACAGGGCACAGACGTGAGAGTTCCTTTCTTTTCAGGTGCAGCCATCCATACTGTTGTCATTTTTCCACAATGACGACTGCCGAAAATGGACTCTGGAATGTCAACAATTTACCGTTGTCGTAAAATATCATCCCACTAATGATCAGTGTATGAAAAACGTGAACGTGGCTTTTTTTCCCCCCATGACTTGGCCAACTACCAAAACTACCTTGACCTATGGGTTTTTTTCTCTTTTTTGCGCAATTGCTTTCCTATGCACATACGTTCGA